TCGGATGGCGGGTGCTTCATAGAAGTTGGAGAGGACTTGATCACGGTTTCATAGCAAGTGGAATCACGGAATTCGGACGCCTGAGCAGGAAGTTAAGCTCGTCGGAAGGAACCCCTGTATCGCTGTTGTTTTGGACCGAGCCGACGAGTTCTGTAAAATGCGAAGGACGGAGTACTTCCAGGCCGATTCAGTTTCCGGGGCCTTCATGAGAATCAGAGACACTTGAGTCCTCTTTCCAGTACATCCGAGACCAGTCAATTCGGAGCTTTGGGCATAAAGATACGGTCTCCGGACTGGACGTTTGTATAGACGGCCTTCTCTGATCGTGTAAATGCACTGCAAAGATGACCCCTCCAGGAAGCTTTAAACTTCCCAAGCACCGAAGCTTCCTTCATCAAAGTTGGCTTCAAATGAGTCCTATGTCTTCTGCAACCGGAATCACTCAATTCGGACAAGTCTCCACGAAGTTACACTCTCCGGAATGCGAGATGGTCCAGACAGCCCAGAATGACTAAGTTAAACATGCCGCGATGGAATGCCACGGTCGACACTTGGCCGTGGCAACTTTTGCACACCCTCGGTGAATGACGCGATCTTCATGCCACGGTCTACACTTGACCGTGGCAAACACACACTTGGCTGAGAGGAACTTCTTGCAACCATTCGGCGATTGACACGGCCCAAATGCCACGGTCTGAGGCTTGACCGTGGCAACTTCTTGCAATCTTCGGCGATTGGCACGAGCTGAATGCCACGGTCTGGGACTTGACCGTGGCAAATGAACAATTGGCTGGAGACAACTTTTACACAGCTTCGAGTTTTGACACGGTTTCAATGCCACGGTCTGAGACTGGACCGTGGCAAACAAATACTTGGCTGGGAAGGATTTCACATGCATGCAAATTTTGGCACGGTCTGAATGCCACGGTGTGGGGGCTTGACCGTGGCAACTTTTACACATCTTCGGCGTTTGACAAGGTGACTTGCCACGGGTTTCAGACGAAGCTTGATCAGACCGTGGCATCAAAAGGAACCAAGAACACAAGTGAAGGCTTTTACACGGTCAGGTTGCCACGGTCACACCAAGAACACACCAGACCGTGGAAAACCCCTCTTTACCCATCAAGGCCGGGTCAGTACCCGGTTTTTTCCGGGTTGACCCGGTTCGCCCAAGTCATCTATATAAGGTTTTTAGACCTAATTTGTAGAGAACCTTTAATCTACTTTGAGTTTTCTTTCCCCTTTCGTGAAAACCTACTTAATACACTTTGTTTTAGAGAGCTTAATAACGATTTTGAAGTTTCTTTCCATCTTATTCATCATTTCTTATCATCAAATCAAACTTCTAATCATGATTAACAACACATCTTGCAAAGGATTTAGTGTGTTGATCATGATTAGTGAGTAGTCACCTTAATGAGGTTCTAGATGTGTAGGTTAGGGTGCTAAAGTGTCACCTTAGGGCTAGATTCATTGATTCATTTCTCTAAACAGCTGTTCTCTATGCTAGATCCTTGATAATCACTTGAGATCTAGATTCTGGGAATTTCATGCATCAAAAGTGTTTGATGAAATTCCTGAAAGAGTTGTATTAGAGGTTTAAGCATTTTTCTGCATGATGATGTATTGTTATTTGCTTTAATGATCATTGAGAACTGTTTATTAATGCATATTGATTCATATTTCACTGATATATCATGGTTTTTATGGTTTTTGACCATGGTATAAGTCTTATTTATAGAGTCTTTTTAGTGTCTTTCGAGTCTTTTGGAGTCTTTTCAGGTCATAGGTACGTTTGGAGCTTAACTGGAGACTTTGGAGCACTTTGGAGCTTAATCAGGATCAAATTCGTCAAGTATGGATTTTGTGCTTTAGTGACGCTCGACACCATGGAGAGTGACGCTCGACACTTGTTGCAGAAATAAGGAAAACATGATTTTGTTTCCTGTTTGAAGAAGGAGTTGGGCCCAAAAGTCTCCAATAATTACAAGGAAGCCCAAAACGTGTTTTTAAGTTATTAATAGGGTTTTTAGCCACCTTATATCGATACCTGAGATTTTCTTAGAGAGAACTTTTGTTTTTGAGATCTTTGGGGAGACAAGTCTGAAACTCTGTTCCGGAGAGAGAAGATTTCGAACCCTGTTTATTAATCTATTATTTCTTTTCTGCAATATATTCATTCATGTTTATTGCTTCAATCTCCATGTCTGAGTAGTTTGTTTGTTAGGTTTAGGGTTCTCATAAAGGATTTCATTGGATGTTTGATTAATTGATTTAGTTAGGGTTCATAATCTATTTAGTTCTTCACCGTAGGTTGTTCTTAAAGCTAATTCTGGACTGGCCACCTAGAACTTAGATCTTAGGTTAATTGATTGACACGGAAGTGTAATTAAATAACTGGAAAGAACCTAGGGTAAGCAAAGTAGCTATTCGCAAAGGAATTTGGTTTAGATACTTTGTGAACATATCGAACTTGAGCATTAAAGCTGGTTTAAATCTTTAGGGTTTGCAAAGGAATTTGGAATTCTAGGATTTTAACTTAGATAATTCTCACAACGGAAGTTGGTTAATTATAATTCTGTGATTCGAGTTCAAGAACCGTGCTTAAACCTGAACCCTGATTAATCGATTGTTCAGCATTCATTGATCTCAGGAGAAACGCCCTAAGCCTAATCTCCATCCATCTGAATCATACAAACCGTTTTTATTGCTGCTTAGTCTAATTCTGTTGCATTTCTATTTATTTACAATATTTCTGCTTAGCGTAATTCGATCTCTATAAGGTTTATTGAGCGAATCTCTCGTCTCTGTGGTTCGACCCCTACATACTACAATTGCACATCTGTGCTCTTGCAGAGTAGCTCTAGGGATTAAACTTTGAGCAGATCATTCACAAATGGGAATTTGGTTTGAAAATGGATTAGTATAGGAGTTACTACCTTCATGAGAGGATTAACCTAGAGTAGAGTTCTTAATCATTTGAATCATGTCTCATCATTGTCATCAGCATTTCTAGTTCAGCACCAAAGCACCCTAACCAACTATCATGTCTAGAATCTCATGCCTCCATCATATCATATTCACATCACTCGTCATTGTCATTTGTCTTTAAACCTGTTTAAGTTTGTAGTTGTCTTTAGTTAACCAAAATCACTCTTGTTCGCTTGAATTAAGAACCTGATCACATAGTTTAGTGTCTAACACCACATCTGGATTGATAAACCTCTTTGTGCTACATTGACAAGGGGATTGATAGCCTTGAGACCTTAAAAAGTCTTGTCTATCACAGACGACATCATCGAAGGCTCTGCTCCACTTTGGGAGGAAATTCTCATCGGAAAAATTCTTGCGACCGCTCCTCATGTCGCGAAAGTTCACGTAATCGTAAACAAAATCTGGCCGCTTGGATCAAACTCTTCCAAGGTGGATGTTTTCGTTGTCCACCAGACAACAATGAAGTTTAAAATATGTGATCCTTTTACCCGTAATAGGTTTTTACGAAGGGGAATATGGAACATTGCGAATGTTCCGATGATAGTTTCTAAATGGTCTCCGGTGGAAGAGGAAGCTCAACCAGAGATCAAATCCATGCCGTTATGGGTATGCATGAAAAACGTACCACATAAGCTATTCCATGAGAAAGGTTTGGGGTTTCTTGCGAGTGCTGTGAGGGTCCCGAAACGTCTTCACCCAGATACTGAAATCTGCATGAGTTTTGATGAGGCAAAAGTGTTTGTTGACGTCATCTTATCAAAGGATCTCCCAACACAATTTCGGTTCACTTCGGAGAAGGGTATTGACTTGGTGGTGGAATTTGAATACCCATGGCTCCCTCCTCGGTGCCCTTTCTGCTCGAAATGGGGCCACTTAGAGGATGCCTGTATGAAAAATAATGGACCCAAGACCATTCCCAAAAGGACAGCTGACACTACTAAAGCTTTGCCGCCTGCAGTTCAGTGGAACAGGGAAACAATCGTTGTAACTCCACCAGTGGAGAAGGATATGAATGTTAGTTCTGCCGCTGTCCAAATTCTGCAAAATATCTCAGAGAAAGCTGTAGACCGAGATATTATTGGTGAGGAAATCAATGAGAAAGAGGAAGGGGAATGTTGCTCTCCAAAAAAGACTAGTAGACAATCAGATCAACAAGGAGGGGAAGATGTCTCTGTTTCTCCATCACGTTTCTTAGTATTAGCGGGTACTGAGGATCAGGATACTGACGCAGTCTTGTCAGATGAGTTGCAGACGAAGGATAAATCAGGCCCTGTTTCTCACTCTGTCGAGGAAACTGGTGTCAGTCTGACTGATAATTTGAAGCAAAAGGATAAAGCAGAGGGGCTTGGAACTCGTCCTCCTCTTCCTCGTGCATCAAAAACAGCCATTAAACCTTTGGTAGACCAAGCTGCCCCTACTGTTAGAGACTCGCGATCTAACACTGCGGGCAAAAGGAATCCAAAGTCCAACAAATAATAGATGTCGGGTTTTGTGTGGAATGTGCGTGGCTTAAACAAAACTTCTAAGCATTCCATTGTTCGCAGGTGGATTCAGAATCAGGATTTTCAGTTTGGTGCTTTGTTGGAAACTAAATTAAAGGAGGCAAAGGCGTTGCGTGTGGCTGCATCAATTTATCGAGATTGGTCGGTTATTACAAACTACGAGTTCAGTCGCCTTGGTCGTATCTGGGTGATGTGGAGTCCCAAGGTGCGGCTTACTCTATTTTTTAAAAGTGGTCAGATGATCACAGTTTCAGTCAAGCTTGAGGAAAGGGATAAGGAGTTCTTCTGCTCCTTTATCTATGCTTCAAATTTTGCGGAAGAGCGTCGTGAGCTATGGAGTGATATCAGAGATCACCATAATTCACCAATCATAAACAATAAAGAGTGGATCTGTTTAGGTGATTTTAATGAGATTCTTGAGGCGGAGGAGCATTGTCATTTCGAAAACTCTCCTTGAGAATGAGAGATTTTCAGAGTTTAGTAAATGATTGCCAATTGGAGGATATGTCTTACCATGGACCGCTTTTTACATGGTGTAACAGACGGGATGCGGGTCTAATTTCGAAGAAACTTGATCGAGTTTTAAAGAATATCAGATGGGATCAGGCTTTTCCGGTGCCATACAGTGTATTTGAGGCTGGTGGATGCTCAGACCATTTGCAGTGTAGAGTTCGGCTGGAGGCAGAACAGGAAAAAGGGAAAAAGCCGTTCAAGTTTATCAATGCTGTTACTGAGTTAGCTGAGTTTTTACCGATGATGGAAACTTTCTGCGGTAACACTCAACCTATTTACTCTTCTACCTCCTCCATGTTCCGGTTAGCAAAGAAACTTAAGGCTCTTAAACCTTCAATTCGATCTTTGGCAAAGAATATATTGGGTAATCTTTCAAAGAAAGCTAAGGAGGCATACGAGATCTTATGTGAGAAGCAGTCGGTTAATGCTCTAAATCCCTCTTTACAGAATGTGGAAGAGGAAATATCTGCTTACAGGCGGTGGGATTCTATTTCTAAGCTGGAGAAAAAATTTCTAAAGCAGAGATCAAAGGTTCATTGGTTGCAGATTCGTGATGGGAACAATAAGACGTTTCATAAAGCTGTTGTTTCTAGGGAGGCCACAAACTCAATACGTGAAATCAAAAGAAGAGATGGAATGGTGGTAACATCGGCTGATGAAATAAAAGCAGAGGCTGCGGGTTTCTTTTCTAAACTTCTGGACACAGAAGCGAGTGCTCAGCGTATCGGCTATCACCCGAAATGTCAAAACCTGGGCCTTACCCACCTTAGTTTTGCTGATGACATTATGGTCCTCTCTGATGGCAAAGTGAGATCGGTCGAAGGTATTGTAAAGGTTTCTAATGATTTTGTGAGGATCTCAGGCCTGAAGATAAGTATGGAGAAGTCTACGATTTATCTCGCAGGGGTTACAGACTTGGTGAGGACCGAACTTGATGAGAGATTTCACTTTCAGACAGGACACCTACCTGTGCGATATCTGGGTTTGCCACATCTTACGAAGCAAATGCGGAAGCAAGACTATCTGCCTCTACTTGAGAAATGCCGCAAGCGAATTCGCTCATGGAGTGTTCGATCATTGTCTATTGCAGGATGGCTGCAACTCATTCGCTCTGTTTTACATAGTATCATGAACTTTTGGATGGCAGGATTTTGACTTCCAAGTGAATGTCTTAAAGAAATTGATAAACTTTGCTCTGCGTTTCTTTGGTCAGGCCCGGATTTAAACCCTCGCAGAGCAAAGGTTGCTTGGGAGGATGTCTGTAAGCTTAAATCTGAAGGAGGTTTGGGTCTTCGGCCTTTGAAAGAGGCAAACAATGTGTGTTGTTTAAAGTTAATATGGCGCATAGTTTCATCTCATCCATCCCTCTGGGTCAAATGGATTCAAACGTATCTTATTCGGAAAGAGATGTTCTGGTCGATCAGCAACAACACTAGTGCAGGATTATGGATGTGGCGAAAAATCCTTAAATATAGATCTCTGCCTAGCTCTTTCTGTAAGGTTTACATTGGAAATGGGGAAAGTACGAGCTTCTGGTTTGATATCTGGTCGGGTATGGGACGCATTTTTCGATCTGATAGGTGTGAGAGGACCTATAGATCTTGGTATTCCTCTTAACGCTTCTATTGCGTCATTATCACAAAGACGTCATCGACGCCACCGAAATGATCTGCTCACAGAGATTGAAAATGTGTTGGAAGCCAAACTTGCGCAACTCAGCTTAGGAACAGGGGATATTTTCTTATGGAAGCACAAAGAGGGAACTTTCGAACCCTCTTTTAGTTCGAAGCAGACCTGGCTTCTCATTCGATCAGCTTCAGCTACAGTTCCATGGCACTCAGGAGTCTGGTTCACGCACTGTACTCCAAAGTTCTCGGTATTCACATGGCTAGCCATTTTAAATCGTTTATCCACAGGCGACCGGATGCAAAGCTGGAATGTCGGGGCAAACACTTTGTGCTCTCTCTGCAATTCTAACCTGGAATCTCGTGACCATCTGTTTTTCTCCTGCTGCTATTCGGGGGAAATATGGACCAAGCTTACCAAAAATTTGCTCCAAAGCAGTTTCACTACAAGCTGGAACGATGTGCTCGGCCTCCTCTCAGACTCGCGGCTCGATCGTATAACTTTGTTCCTGTTTCGCTTCTCTCTTCAAGCTACCGTTCATAGCATCTGGAGAGAACGAAACTCTCGCCGGCATGGAGACGACCCGCTTCCGGCAACTAGAATTCTGCATCTCATCGACAAACTAGTTCGATGCCGAATCCAATCTATTCCCAACATGGGAGATAGAAGATACGAGGACGCACTTCAAACGTGGTTCAATACTCGAGTTTGATCAGTCTGCATGTTCGAAAGTTGTAATTTGTTTTTCTGTCACTTAGTTCTCTCCTTTAAACACAAGTCGCACCTCAAGGGGTTGTAAAAAAGTCTTTTTTGATCTTGAATATAATTTTACATTCATTTCCAACAAAAAAAAAAAAAAAAACTTGCAAAGGTTTAAGAGAGATTAGTATGATTACTGAGTAGTCACCTTAATGAGGTTCTAGATGTATAGGTTAGGGTGCTAAAGTGTTAGATTAGGGATGCTTAGGGCTAGATTCATGATTTCATCTCTCTAAATAGCTGATCTCTAGGCTAGATCCATACACATGTTATGTGGTCTAGATCTTAGGCATTTCATGCACCAAAAGTGTTTTATGAAATGCCTGAAAGAGCTATGTTAGAGATCTTTGCATTTAATGCCATGATGATGTTTGTTAATTGCTTAGATGATCTTTTAGAACTGTTTCTTAATGCTCATTGATTCATATTTCACAAATGATGATTTGGTTTGAAAATGGATTACTGTAGAGGTTAATGCCTTCATGAGAGGATTAATCTAGATTAGAGTTCTAAATCATTTGACTCATGTTTCATCATTGTCATTAGCATTTCTAGTTTGGCACGAAAGCCAACTATCATGTCTAGAATATCATGCTTCCATCATCTCATATTTACATCACTTGTCATTTGCTTAGTTCTTGTTTGATCATTTGCTTAGTTCTTGTTTGATCATTTGCTTTGTCATTAATCTTGTTTTAAGTTCTTAGTTGTCTTAGTCAATCAAAACCTCACCTGTTTACTTGAATTGAGAAACTGATCACATAGCTTAGTGTCTATCACCACATTCTTGGATTGCCAACCTTTTCTGTTCTATTTTGACAAGGGGATTGATAGCCCTAAAGACCAAAAAGTCTTGTCTATCACTAGGGGACTTACTTTTCATTTTCACACTCAAGTATTGGAGTTCAAACTTTACACAACTCTTTTTCTTTTGCAACCTCTAGCCTCTTTTTCTTTCTTTTCAAAACATTTGAGCTCTCTGGCTTATTTTCTTTTCCTTTCACTTAGAGGGTAGACTCTTTCTTTTCAAAACACTAGAGCTCACTTTCTTTAACTCAAAACTCGAAGACTGATTTCTTTTCTTTTCTATCCCCTAGTTTTCACATCTCTCCTTTTTCCACTCATCTCTCCTTTTTCCACTCACCAACAACAACTCTCCCACACTTAGTTCTCGCCAAATCTTTCAGCTCCTTGATGATGGAACTTAACACTCAATGAGACTTGCCCATGTCGCTCTAAACCTAACACTTTCTGCTAAGTTTGATCCAAGGTGGCCTTTCAATCACACACAAACATTTGGCTTGAAGGAAGGATGGGTTCATGGTGAGGAAAACTGATCCAGATGTGGACTCAGCTATTGGATCTAAGGAAGAGGATGGTAAAAACAGGATTCTAGCTCAAATATGTATATTGGTATCCACAAGCTTATTCAAACAATGCATCAAAAGATAATTTCAAGTCAACTTCAAGATTTTCACTTGTTAGAGGTTAGTTAAATTTAAACTTGCTTCTCAGAATCAAATCATTTCAAGACTTGCAAGCACATAAGTCATTTCACAAGCATATTTAATCTAAATTCTCAAAGTGATGTACTCTTAAGGAAAAACCTATCATTACTCCCTGCAAGATGCAACCTATATACTCAATCTTAAAATATGAAATGCATCTACATGAGCAATTTTTTGTGAAAGTTTTTCATTTTTTGACTTCTTTGGTTTTTATATGCACTTAGATGCAGCTACATGAATGCATTCAAGAATGTGACTCAAGACTCAAAGTAGAAAATAAGAACAGAGAAAACATGATTAGTAAAAGATGAAACTCCTCCCCCACACTTAAATAACACAGTCCCTTGTGTTATAAAAGCATGAGAAAGGACTGCAAAACAAAACAGGCAAAATGCAAAGAGAAAAAGAAAGAACTACATGCATATGCACAAGGGGTGGAGTGTTACCTAGGAGCTTTGGAAGTCTGACCCCAAAGAGTATGAGGGGTTTGATGTGTTACCAGATGGTGTCTCCCAAGAGTGATGGCTTAGCTCCTCAGAAACGGCTTCAAGGTCCACCCATGCTGTGCCATATGGTACCAATTCTGGGCAAGTGGTGGACCTCTCTCCAACCTCTTCTCGGTGTCTTGGTGAAACTGGTGGTGAAGATCCTCATTTGCAAGGGTTCTCAAGCTTCTTGATTCTCGTTTTCATCTCCTTGATACACTTAGCAATCTTGTGTATCGTTTTGTCCTGATTCTTGCACCATTGCTGAAGGACCCCAATCTTTTGCTGAGATCTGAACCCTGAGGTGCCTGGCTCTTCCCAATTGTAATCATCAAAGTGGTATATGTTCCCTCCATACCGTTTCTGAGGTGGAGGCATACCATCATCTTCAGCACCAGCAGCACCAGCTTCAGCAGCTGCTTTCTTTCCCTTGGAAGCTTCTTCTTTGCAAGCCTTCTTGTATTTGAGAATTGGTGGATCAGTTTGGACATTCTAGAGATCTTCCTTCAACAAGTAGAAGTGAATATTGCACTTTACGTGGACTGTGGTGAGAGAGGGATTGGGCAGGAGAACTTGGAGTGGCTCATCTATGAAGTACTTGAAGTTGTAAACCAGCTTGGCGCCAACTCTTCCTTGAAAGAAGCCAATCTTGCACAGGTGTGCTACATTAATCAGATCAAACCTTGCCTTACTTTCCTTAAACCTGTATCCTCTTGCCTTCAAAATATTTGTTACAACCCAACCATGGGCAAGCTTTGCATCCTTCTTCTTTGAATCCCAAATGCACTCCTTGTAGAACATCAAAGATTTTGCTAGTTGAGAGGCAAGGCAAGGTGTGTGAGAATATCCTTCATAATGCTTCCCATTCTCATGAGTTGGCATCAACTGTATCAGTCCCACACCAAGGAGGTTCAGATCACCTTGATGAACTCTCCCAACATCAAGCTTGAAATATAAGCTGTGAGCAAGAATCTTATGAACATATCTCAGCACCGGGTTTCTTATCCAAGAAGCCTTAGCTGCTCGAGCTGTGTACTTCTCAAATGCAGTTGATCCCTAAAAGCTTGAAGTTCTTCCTTGTTAAGACTGATCTTGTTGGAGAGAGGTGTCTTTTCAGGTGCATAGAATCCAAATATCTGAGTCAACTCCCTGAATGTCACCGTATAGACCTTTCTTTTCACCTGAAACTGTATAGTTCTGAGGCCTCTTCCTTGAATCACTTTTGGATCCCTTGGCATGTACATATCAACATCAAGAGAGGCCAAGAAATCTTGAGACTCCTTCTCATAAGCTACTTCTCTCAGTTACAAGAGGGATTCAATACCCATGTTCCCAAGCAAAGTTTTGACATCCTCATAGATGCCAATCTTCTTCAAAACTTCCACATCAGGGAAACTCCCTTGCTAAATCCCCATCTGCTGAAACTTGGCCAAATAATCAGGCGTGTCTGGTTCAGTTTTCTTAATCCTCTTGGGTGCCTCTTCAATGGCGCCTTGGGAACCTCCAGCTGAGCTGCTTGAGCGACTCTCAGTCTGTTCATCTTCAGATACCACAGCCAGTTGTTTTCCCTTCTTCTTGGAGCAACAAGCAACCACTGTTGGGGTCGGTTTCCACCCCAAGCGGTTAAACCAACTCGAGAATGACCAAGTATCAGATAAAACCGGTTGGCAAGAGAAATCAGTTATTCGTCAGATGTGGGCCGAGCTCTCACATGAGAAAGGTGGGCCAAGCCGTGCTCAACATTACAAATGGGCCGAGCCGTGAAGAGGGGCAAGTAGGCCGAGCCGTGGAAAGGACGTTCAGTGGGCCGAGCTGTGCAAGAGAGAGAATGGGCCGAGCCACTTCGAAATTGGGCCGAGCTGGTTCTTCTTGGATGGGCCGAACCAAAGTCATGAAGGACGTAAGCCCATAAAAAACCCTAGGCGAAGTGCTGTGATGGTGGCCGCACAAAGCGATAGGAAATATTCCGAAAATCTCTCCCGATGTATGCAGCTCTTTATGTAACTTTTGACGACTGGAGAGCAATAAGACTTAAACACTTTTCAGCAAAAAACCTTTTTTTGATTTACTGTTCTTGCGATAAACCCTAGAAATTTAGGATCCCTTAAATTTTCCTTAACAACTTTTTGGTTGTGCGAGTTTTGGCTCACAAAATTTGGCGCCGTCTGTGGGGACATCGAAATTTTCTTACCCTAAATCGACAGGACTTTAAGATCTGAAGAACGTGGCGAGCAACACCACCGACGATAACAACAACAACAACAACGGCGCGGAGAAGGACGCTCCACCATCAGGCACGACGACGACGAAAACTGAAACCCAAGAGGAGATGCGAAACATGATGGCTGCGTTGATGAAGAAGATCGACGAGCAGGACAAAAGAAACGAGGCGATTATGGAAAGGCTCGACGCGATGACGGCCGAGAGACGACACCCGACTTGGAGAGCCGGAATCTCCGATCTAATGGATGGAGTCCGTAGACGTTTTGATTTCTCGACACCTGCAGGAGCCTAAGGTAGCGGCGCAAGGAACCCCTTGGTACCACCAATTTTTTGTTCCCTCGGCGAACAGTGATAACTTAGAGCTTTCAAGGCCCTAAATGAGGGGTTATCAATCCCTTTTGTCACTATGCAGTACAAAGGATATCAATCTATCATGTGTAGACACTAAGATACAGTATCAGTTCTTAATTGAAGCCAAATGAGTGAAGTTTTGATGATTAATGACAACTAAGAATGGAAAAATAAGGATTAAAGCTAATGATCAACTTAAACAAGCAAGTAAATGAGCTAAATGAGATGAGAATGTATGTATGATGATGAGAAAGGTCTTAGACATGATAGTGGATTAGGGTGCCTTCAGTGATAAACTAGTGAGCTAATGAACCATATGATCAAGCAAACCATTCAACTTAAACATCATTAATTAAGTTAATCCTCTCATGAAGGTATCAACTCCT